TTCATTTCCTTTTTTAATTTTCCGTTTTATTCTTCCCTTAATTCCCATCTTCAACCGGCCTGAGTTCCTAGTTCCTGGACTCGCCCTCGTCACCTGGCTTTTTGGTAATATATACTATAATCGATTAATAGCAGCAGGATACTCCACGCAATACTAATTGCTAACCGCACTAGGTTACGCCTTGGTCTCTGGGGGATACAAACATCCCCGGTTCGTAAAATCTCAGAGACGCATAAACAAATGTACGTTACTAGCATGCGCTTAGACCCTAATGGGTAGGCTGACAGATACAAAGCTTTGCCATAAAAGCACCTTGCCACATGACATGTTTGCCCCATGAAACCGCTTAGACACTACAGCCGTCCACACTTCCACATTCCACATTTCACCAACTAAGAGACCTTCCCTACTCTCGGCCACTAAAGCTTTGTGGGAGCTTCTGTATTGGTCACCTGTTAAAAGGTAGCCGGACTAGAAACCCCGGCACCGCCTGGCTTGCAGAAATGATTTGGGCATTGGTCGTAGCCCGATAGGCAGCAGCCCTGTCCAGATGCACGCTTCCTAAAGGGTTTCCGCCTTTGGTCGGGCGACTACCTCCTTTATTGGTCAATAACGATGTTAGAGCGGTTGTAGTTCCAACCCCAGCCAGCACTTCGATGGCTATAATAGTGAGTGAGGAGCACCTTAAAAACATATTCGCTTTGGATCGACATGGGAAACTTCGACGACTTCCAACTGTGCCCCATAATTACACGCATTTAGCCACGAAACCAAGCGGCATTGACTGCATATGTTTCCGTATGATCAGATCCTCCGGGCTGATATCTGCAGCATATGGCGAGAATCACTTCCTACCCCATTGCACTACTGATGAGAGGTTCACATGTACGACCAGAAGCATAGTTTATATCATAAAATGCACAACTTGTCGCATGCAGTATATCGGCCAAACTCAACGAACCCTGCAGGAGCAAGCCAGAGAGCACAAGGCCAGTGTAGCCACGAAGACTAACACAATACTCTACAACGATTTCCAGGAACCAGGACACGGACCTGAGGCTATGAGTATTGAGATTATTGAGGAGGTTGACACGTCTAGCGCCACTCTCCACCATCGCGAATTGTTTTGGATTAGAACACTCAGTACCGCCTACCCTTTCGGCCTCAATGATAATACAATGGATGTGGGATTATTTCAAATGGTCTTCTACCTTTTAATGTTGGAAAAAAAATCCATACCTTCAGAGCTCCTTACCTAGGAAAATACGTGGGCACGGCGTTAGGAAGCGTAAGAAACGACACATCGATCACGATCTACTTGATTACGCTCTTCACTGCGATGCTGACACAACCCTGGCAGTTCAAAACCTGCTCCACAGGCTCCGCAAATGCAACTATAAAACCCTTAGGGTTTTAAGAGAACGTGTTAAAGGTAGTCCATTTCCATTCCGAACAAACTGTATACTCCAGGGCTTCCTCCTTAGCCGTTTGCAAGCCACCGTAACCTGCCAACAACAATCCAACCCTATTTACTTCCGCATAAATTACCTGGAAGGGACTTCAAGCAACTCCACCTCAAGTCCATCTTCTATGGCAGTACTGCTAGGCGCCTTCTCCCTGCCAACCATTTCCTAAAATTGTCGTTAGTTACAAATGCGATTCCCCTCTAGGATGCCGCATTGTCAACCATAGCAGGTTCTTGGACGAGCCCAATAATGAACCACAGGAACTACGCAGGTAGTTGACCACAACCGCAACTATACAGGATCCAAACACATCCTCCAGCCGGACACATTATCACTGGCAATCTAACAGTCGTTTCGGATAAACGACTCCGAGAGAAATTTTTTTTTTATTTTTATTTTTTTTTTTAGGGTCCGCAAAATCAAATTTTAGAGTACCAAATTTAGGGTCCGCAAAATCAGAAGCTGCCAGAAAGTTCATGACGACTTTAACACAACATTGGATAGTTTTGTGGAGAAATATGACCTAACAATAACATCCATCTACCAGTTTCCATGATTTCAAAAATCGAATTATTACACTCCTTCACTGGCGCAATGCACAACTTGGTCCTAGCAATACACACATACTTCACTGGATTAATCAAGCTATTAGAGCTTTACACCGCAGCTATGTCATCACAACAGTCGATAAGTCTCCTAACAACTACATTATCCTTTGCGAAAAATTTTATGCTGTGCTACACTGCAAGGAACTACGACTGACAGATAATGGTGAGGTCCTCGGCAATAGCGTCTACAGTCCCGCAACTATAACAACCCAGCAGGTACTTGACATGCACGCGATTATTTGCAGCCGGTTTCAAACAACTACCATTGCTATTAACAACTGTATACCTAAGATTTATGCAGCGCCTAAGCTACATAAAAATCCCTATGGCTACAGGCTCACAGCAGCAGCTAACAAGTCCTTCTTAAAAGAATTGTCTATTGTCCTGCATCGCATTCTTGGACAGCTAAGGACCCACTTCCAAAACTCTTTCAATAAAAATGCTCAACAAAAGGAAGGAAGATTTTATTTCAGCGTAGCTAACCCACAAACCGTTTAATATAGACTTCAGACACTACCATCGCAGATTAGCCAGATATATTCCGCCGACTTCAACAACCTCTTCACTAGTTTATCGCATTTGGTGATAGCCAACAGCATTAATTACTTGACAAATCTGTGTTTTACAAATGCATGCAGAGATTATGTGGCGTTGGGTACAGATCGGTCTGGTTTACGAATGAAATCCGCACCGACTTAACCTGTTACAATAAGGATGAGGTGAAGGCGATACTTCACACTATATTCTCAGAAACTTACGTAAGATTTGGAGAATATCTATTTAGACAGATAGAGGGTGTCCCCATGGGCGGAAATGCAGCCCCGATGTAGCGGACCTCACGCTGCCTGTGATGAAATTTCATTATATTAGCAAACACCACACTGCAGGACTAAGCTTCTTCCGATACATAGACAACATACTAGCAATCAACTGTCCCCAATTCAGTGAACTCGCCAGAGACATTTACGTGACCACCCTCACGCTCAACACCACCTATTCTGGGCAATATTCCTGCTTTCTTGATCTGACCATCCATTGTACTAGTGAGCGGTGTACGTTCGACGTTTACAATAAAACAAAGGACTTTCAAGTTAACCAAGCCAACCACCCCGATAGTAATATTGACCCTATTATACATGATGGCATCATTATGTCCCAACTACTACGCTATGCTAGGATTTGCCGTACAACCCACAGATTTGCATGGCAGGCTAAACGACTTATTAGTAAATATAAAAATCGGGGATACAACATTAGGATACAAACAGCACTATTAAAATTTAGCTACCGTAATCAAGCCCTTTTAAGCAAGTTTTTTGATGCAGGCTACGAAGATATTAGTAACCTATGTCGTACGTTAACAGAGGCAACACTTGTCACTAACCATATTATACTACACACGCACAATCGTCCTGAGCTTAACTGACAGCGTTTGACTGTTTTCAGCTGCCATGACGTTATCCAGCGAGCCTTCCGCGAAGAAAGCCAAAACCGAAGCCTTCCTCTTGCATGATAGTTTAATTTCTACTCTTACAGAAACTTAAGGATTTGTCTACACATCCCATATCATTCTCTTCATATCTTCTAAACTATCTAACATGTCTCGAATTACATGGCGAAATGAGGCACTGCACTGATGATTTCCACCCCATTTTGCAACAACTTAGTCATCTGTGTTTACAGTTCAGGGATAAAACACAGGCTCCACCCAATGCAGGTACTGGCTGGCTTAAATGAGTTGCAAAATTTGGCTTCTTTTCAGAATATTAAATGTGCATATACGACTATTCTATTCCTCTCTTTTCTCTTAGGGCGTTCGCTTAATTACGCTACACCTTTGGACTCATGACATGCCCTTGCCATATACTTCCTTCCAACCTCCATTTTACTTCATTTATTATGTCACTGTACTTTGCCAGCAGTAATGCTACTCTTTTCAACACTTATTCGCTCTCAGCTTTACCTAAGCATCAGTTTCACAAATAGGGAAGTCCCCTACTGGTAACGAGTTTTTATGGAACAGTTTCCATTAGCAAAACCTCAGTTTCTTTTGCTTTTATTCATAAAGTCAGATTTGCTTTAATTTACTTTTATTTGTGTGCGTTGTGTAGTTTTTTTTCTCTTTGCTGCTGTCTCTAATTCTTGCCTCGAGTTTCTGACTTGTATCCTCGTTCCCCTTCTCTACCCTATCTCCAAATCCTGCTAGCAGACAAGATCTAGACCCCTCTCCATCTCTACTATAATAGCATCGTGCAAGCAAGCGGTACTTCACCTTTCCCTATCCCAGGTATCTGCGGTAAAAACCAGGAGCACATTACCTTATCATTTGTTCGCTACTACTCCTCCTCTTCCCTCCAAATGTACGCAACTTAGCCAACCGACAAAGGATTTACGCCATTTATTCCTTATACCCACTCATACCAGCGCCCTCCCCTGCCTGGAACGAAACCCGCTACATACCACCTCCACTTCCAACTGCCACATTCAAACTGAAGTCATCCGCCGTGAGCAAAAATTTTTTGTGGATTGTGTATGACACCGGCCGAGCCGAGCCGAACCGAGCTAAGCTAAGCCGAGCCGAGTTTTTGTAATTGCCCGATCAAACGCCTTTTAAAAGAGCGATGCAAAAGATATCATGTGGCCACTATGATATCTTTTGCAGAAATTAAAATGCTATAGATACAGCATATCGCTCGACTGATTTTCCCACGTTTGTCCGACCCGTTATCCGATGTCCATTTTCACAGGCTGCATCGTAAAATGTCTTTTTGTACATGACACCTAAGTCCAATCCTCCTACTCTACTAT